ATGATCGGTTAGGTTTTGTTGTTGTTGTTTTTTCTTCCTTTTAAAAAAAATCTAATCTTTCCATCCCTGTAACATTTAAAAAATAATTTTTTTTCTCTTACAGAGTTTTAGAAAAAAAATAATTCTGGAATTCCGAGAACTGGAGCTCTATGTCCTCCTAAGGACTCGTCACATTTTAACGCGTCGTTCGTAATGTTCAGTGGTGGCCAAACACGAAGACCCTCCCAACAATGAGTACTCAAAGCTACACACGCTGTACACCTTACAGTATGGAGTTGCTTCTCTATAGAGACAGTAGTGGTAGGGCTTGGAAGACACCTTACATCAGTATTTTAAAACTTTCTTCGAAGAGGAAATAGGCATTTATGGAGTTAACATATCCTGAAATGTAAATATGGGTTTTGCCAAGGAATCAAATGCCATAGAGAAATGTTCACCCTGTCTGTACCGTTCTCAAGAGCACAACATTGAACTTAGAGGAACTTCGAACCCCCGAACCCGCAATCCCACACACATTAAGCCCTTCGTCGCTGTTTTGTGTTTAATTCAAATTTAGTTGAAATGTTTAAAATTTGATTGTACGAACGCGTAGACTGATTTCCATCACATTTGAAAATGTGACGTCCCCTAGGTTGTATTTTTTTGAAGTTTTGTAGAAGTTGATGCAAAGATAACCGGGTTGTTGCCCTTTAATCAGGACCTGTTTCGGACAACCTGTGCAGCATTTGGTGAAGAAATAAGATGAAGGAAGGGGCAAATTGATTAATAATGCTTGAAGCGCCCTTCCCCCCACCAGGACAGTGCTACTGACTGAAGTTGTCTTTCTGCCATTTCCAAAGGGGGGATATTAACATGTTCTTATGCACAGTAGAATTGTAAATGGGCTGATTTATCAATGTCATGCTCATAAATGTGCCTGAACAACATGGGGGAAACTGCCGCTTTTTCTTTTCTCACCCTTACTGTCGTCATTTTTCCTGTACTTCTTGTGTATGTTTGTCATTCTCTTGTGAAGTGCTATTTCCGTGGTGCCTTGATAGTCGAAGCAGACTTTGTCTGTTGAGGCTAGGCGCTTTTCCCTTTCGTCAACCT